GAGAGAGAGAGAGAGATTTGTGATGAATTTAAGAGGCTATCATATCATCTATGTCGGCACACAAATGGGGGCCACCAAATAGAACCATCGATTAATTAGAGAGGACTGGTCATCATAAACTTGGAAACATGGAGCATTTCACATTGCCACCGACCAATCCTAAGCTTGTTATTGCACTAAATAAAAGCAACATTAGGTGAGCTTTAAAGAGTCGGTCACAATAAGTATGTAAGAATGCCTTTGCTAGAGATCATCATATCTTAGGCAAGGATGGTGCGGCTTTCGTGGATGGACGGACCTCCACATAAAAATACAGGTTAGTACACAACTACCGAGGTATACAAAGAAATAGTTCAAAGGGGGGCGATTGTGAGTTCATACGGGCATTAAATGTGCATGTGGATGGTCATCAACAGTGGCCTGTGCCGATGTGGTGGAATGAGTCAAGCGGGCGAGTCCTCCTCGAGTTTATTGAAGTCATTGTTGAACCACTGAGACGTTGATGGGCGACCAAATGAAATGCAAAAGATCGGCATAATTTGGTGTTGATGGAGAGAAGACTACGTCATTTAGTCTCAAGGACTTATAAGTCTGTCAGATTTCTTTTACTCTTAAATATATTTTTTAGAATTCATATGTTTTGAAAGAAAAAAATTGTACACGAAATATATTATAATATCTAATATTTTAAAAAAAAATTATAATAAAATTAGATAAAAATTTGATTTTGATTTTAATCTGGCGATGCACGAAGTTTTCATTATAGATACGTTGACATCTGAACACACTTGTGATCGAGACAATTTTCGAGCAGTTGAATCTTTCAAGCAGCTTACGAGAGAATCTGCAGTTGGTTTGTCCGAGCGAGGTCAATTTGTGAGACAGTTCAAATCAACAATCGACGTGTAGGTATGTTTCGTACGTTGAATTCCATCAACCACAACCTACCTGGATGGATCGAGCAGTCTCGTCAGTAGATGAGAAAACGCAGCTTGGAACTTTCTGCTCGTGGTTTTAATTGCCATGAGAATGCATGACTGCAGGCCGTGGTTGCGGTTTCCAGTGGCGTGACGGAGGAAGAAGACGCCGCCGCAGCTCGAACGGGGTTCAGCAGAGGTCATCCATCTTCAACAAAGTTCTGCTGCTGAGACAATTCCGCAGTCTCCCTCGCATCCGTCAACTGTTTCTCCACGCGACGAGGATGCGAGAGTAACTCGCGGTCACTTTCGCATTACCAGGAGCAACCGAAACGGGATAAACCCTCTCGCTTGGCTGTCCCGTTAGCAGAAAGTTCGCTCTTTTCTGTCACCGTATACGCCAAGAGTTGATTTGGTCTCCTTCGCTCTGCGCTTCGGTGCAGGGGAGCGCGGCTTCGCTGAAAGATCCCAACACCTCTGGTTGGTAGTTGCTACGAAATAATTTAGTGCGAGTCCAGTAATGCGCA